TCAAGAGATCCCAAGTTTTTATAATCAAAATGAGTCAAAATTATTCATAGACCCTTTTATCAAAGTAAAAACAAGTTAGAGAAGCATGAGGTATCTTAGAGGAGTGAAAGAAATTAAAAACAATTAAGAAATAACTTATTTGCTATAGAATAGGGCAATACACCGCGGTTTATGTACACTGAGCCACGGTGTGTTACTTTCTGTGCCACGCACCGTGGCTTAAGTGCCAGTGCGCTGCGATGTGTTGCACATTAATGACAGCAAAATGAGAGAACTTTTGATGCGTTCTAAATCTTCTTCTGACATCTGAATGACATGATTTAGGTATTTATAAAAAGCTCTTCTAACTAGCTAATTGCATGGGTTTTACTTCCAAAACAACTTACACCGAGAAGTTGGATATCTAAATATATTTCATCACTTTTCACAACTTTTCACAAACAAAAGATGTCCAAAACTCAAAACAAGTGCCAAAAGCCTTTTCTAATACTTGGATCGTGTCCATTGAACTTAGGATTATCAATACAACACGTCATACACACCCATTTATCAACGTAACAGAAAGTCACTCTTCAGTTCCTTTTTCACTAAAAACAAAAGGGGGAGGCAATTTATTTGCATTGCCTTAAAAGTCATTCGTTTCATGAATAAAACAATATTTCTACACTTATATCAATATTTTGGCCTTATCAATACATATAAATTAACATACACAATCACTCAAGGCTCAAAATACAATCCAGATACTTAAAACAACTAATTAGTGCAAGTGTGAACGAAATGTAATCTAAAATTGGCAACAATATTCTACTACACAAAATAAATAAAAACTAGAGGTATACAAAAGGAATGCACAGATTCCTAGCCTCAATAGCTTTGTCCCTCTTAGCATCAAAGCTAGAGCTTATAAAATGTTAAAGAAGAGAGGTGAGTCTAATCACTTAGTAACTAAGATAAAACCTACCCTATACAGATATGAATTAATTGTAATCAAATACATAGATATGAAACCAAGTTCTTAAAACATACTTATATACATATCATAACTCATCAATTCACATTTAACTCATTTCCATCTCATATACACTAAGTACATTGTCACAAGACACTCAGACATATGACCATGACTTGATATCCACATCGCAATCATGTGACACATCATAAATTTATACAAGCAATAATCAATCAATCTTATATCATCCTTATTTTTTTCAACTAAAACTGTGGGCTATAACATTGAATAGGACTCCATCCGTGTGATTGGACTATCCAAACTCACCAATTGTGGGGTGTGACCCAGCTAAATATCACATAACTCACTTTGCAACCATGGCTTCCCCCACTTTTAAATCTCTGGGGTGTTGTATAGCCTAAGCTATTCTACTATATGGATTTCCTCTACTCTCAATCCCTAGACAAACTCCCACCCACTAATCATGTCATGGATAATGCTCACTCATTTTTCACAAGCTTATTTAGTCATTATAAAAAACAACACATTGGGCTCACGACTGCACGCTACCCAAATGAGCATCAGTACTCCTTTTCACATATATCACATAATCTATTATTTTCAAATCCAACCATCCCTCTATATCACATTCGTTATCAACTCTCAATTTCACATATAATTTCAATTTCCATTCATTTCAAAAATCACCCTTGTAACATTGACAATTCATTTTCAAGCAAGTATATAAACATAACTTTTCATTGCATGATACACACATTTGCCAATCACAATTCATATGTACAACACATATTTAATACCACAATACAATTAACATATAATTACTTAAAGCAGAGTTTTTTTGGTTACCTCAAACTTTTGAGAGATTAAAAGTTTACCCCTCAATACTATAGCTATCAAGCTTGAATTCTCAAGCTAACTTGATGTCCAAGAGCTCGATCTATATTTATCATTTCTTTAACTCATCAACATCTCCAAACACACACATATCAACTCTCATCTTCCACTTTTAGATTACCTAATGCTTACTTTGTATAAGTTTGGTTCTATCCATTAGATTTATTAACTATCTATAGTATTATATAGCTTCATTAAATACTCACATGGAACTCACTATCCAATAACTACTAAAATTATTAATGCTAGGTTTAAATATTTTAAACAATTCTCGTTAACTCCATTTAAGTTAATGAGTTCATACCTTTATCTATACGGGCCGAAAATCATCATCCTCATTCAATCTTTAATTCAAATCTTTGAGAGAGTGGAAGAAAAAGGGAGAAAAGGGTTTATGAGTCTTACCTTAAATTATTTGAAGGTTTAAATCTTCTCAAATCCTCCCTTAAATCGTGCTTTAGCAGAGTAAAGGCAAGTTTTTCCATTTTCTCTTCTATTTTTTGTATCAATTCACGACTTATTTTTGCAAAATTCATACCGTGCGTCACGGTTATTATCCCCATGCACCGTGATATGTGGTACAGAGAAGATAGTCTCTCACTTTTTAGCCTTATGTGCCATAGCCCTACCATGCACGTGTCACAGCATGTGGCACAAAGGCTTTTCTATTTATTTTTCTCTACTTTTTAATCTTTAAATGACTCAAAAATTTTACTTTGAACTCAAATTATGCCTAAAATTCTAACTAAAAATACTTATTAATCTTCTATGACCATACACCACATAAATCCTATTAATGATGCTTAATTACTTAATTGTTGGAGGTTAAATTTTTGAGATGTTACGCACTTCCCATCATTCCATTCCTTTTCATTACCTCATTTTCTATGAACCAAACGTGACCTATAGCAATTCCATCTTAGTCATACAATCGTGCCTTTACAAGTTAAATTTTATATTTTCAACTAGTAGTTTTCTATTACCTCACAAACAAATATATATATATATATATATATTTGGGGAAATATAATTTTAGATCTTTGCATTTTGCTTAAGTTTTGCTATAGGTCCTACCATTTTTTTAATATTCTAGATCCTTATATTTTTATTTTTCAGTATTTTAAGTCTCCATACTACCACTTATGAAGAGACTTAAAACACTAGAAAACAAAAGTGTAGATATCTCAAATACTGAAAAAAAAAGTACAAAAATCTATAGCAAAGCTCAAGTAAAGTGTAGGGATTTAAAATTATATTTTTCTTATATATATTAATGAATTTAATTATAAAATTAAAATGTAATATACTATAAATATATTTTGTGTGTTTAATGTAAAATGGTATAATTGAGTAATTAAACAACTAAAATGTAATATACTATAAATATATTTTGTGTGTTTAATGTAAAATGGTATAATTGAGTAATTAAACAACAAATCGAATTAAACATTTAACAATAGTAATGAAATCATTTTGTTTTCAATTTTGGACTCATAGTCTCATGGACATCAACCCATATATCTCCCAAATCTCACGCCATGTGGGTGTCCACGCTTTAACTTACTACAATTATGCAAAGGTGCTATTATTATTTGTTAAAAAAACAGTATTTTAATTTTCCCCCAGTAAATCAATCTTCCCTCTTATAGAAATAGTTATAAGCTTCCATATGATATGACTTTCAATAAAAAGATTGATAGGTGAAACTTCTATTCATTATTATTTTTTCTAATAAAATAAATAAAAAATGGCACGATCAAAGCGTCAAAAGTGACTTACACGTGTATATGAACATATAAAATATTAAAAAGAAGCAGCGTTTTCGGAATACACTTTTGCCCTTGGTAAAAAGGTTAAAATTAACCACCCAAATGCTCTCATCCGACAAGATAATTAGAAACAAACTAAAGTACTAATGTTCAGTGAATCGTTAGATACAAATGTTAAAAATCAGAGCATAAATAAAATGAAATAGTATTCTATATAATAATAAAATGATGATATTACTTTACCTGAGTTTGTTTAATAATTTTTTATTTAGTTCACCCCAGCTCGTGTAGAGTATTCGTAGGGAGGAGAGCACACGTGTGACCAATGAAGAGAGGCAAAAGAGAAGGCTTTTGGGGCGTCAAATTTCACTGTTCAATAATTAGTCTACTACCCTTCTCAAAAAGCAATTGCCACAGGCGCCCGCCACGTGGATAATATGAGCCACATCAATGATTAGTCTACGACACAATTCCCAGAATACCCCTAGATCGGCACGTGCCAGCCCTTAAATGCGCCACTTTGCACTTTTAACGTAAATTGCCAAGCACCAAAGCCTCTGTAGCGTTGTCTGGGTGAAACCAGCTCAGCTCAACAAAAATTTGGCGGCTTCATTTGTGTCCTTCTCTTACCAACTTCAACACCAAAATAGGTGTCTATTTTTAATCTGTCTTAATTTAACTATACTATTTTAATGTTTTTAATTATTTAAGTGCTCTATCATAACTATAAGTGTTAACATTTTAGGAGGATGGATTAAAAATGTCAAGCTTCTAATGTCAAGTCTAAAGTTCAATATGATTGAATATAGTACATATTAGAGAACAATATTTTTATATGAAAAAATATACCAATTGTATAAATTTTTGTACAAAAATCGATTTACAGCAAGCGCATTCATTCGGGCAGGAAAAAACAACATTAAATGCATCAGTATAATATGCTTTTAAAATTATTATTATTTTTTCAAAAAAGTAGTAGCATCTTTAAAATGGTGCCAGGAAGAATCAGAGTCTATTACATATAGTGAATTGGGGCTGTATGTGTGTGTGTGTGTGTTTTTTTTTTGGGTGTTAATCACATTATCAATAGTGCACGAGTAGTATATAATTTAGTTTTCATATTTAATAAAGCACTTAGGAATCTGTTTCACTCTGTAATTTTTTAATGACCAACCCTTTGAAATGTTAACTTCAGAGTTCAGACAATTTATAATCATGCAGTACTCTATATTGAGCACAATAATAAAAAATTATTAGGTTAGTAATTTTTTTTATAAACGATAATGTCGTAATCAAAATCAATAATATATCTATATATATATATATATGAAGGTCACAACTCACAAGTTGGCAGCCAAGTTAGCTGGCCACTCGTTTTTATATATTCATTTCTTAATTCTTAATTTTCTTCTATTCTCTCTTCTTCTCCCAAGTCCTACCTCACCAGAAGAGGCCAGAGAGAATAATTGCTCTGATAATTGAAAGAAATTGTTTTTCTCTTTACATTTTGACTTTGCTTTGATTCGCTCCCTGCCTCTTCACAAAAATCGGCCTGCCGATTGCTCTCTCTTCATCTCCTTCTCAAGATTACACATTCACCTTCCCCATCGTGCAAATTAAGATCTGTGCTTTGACCTCTAACAGGTTCAGCCTTTCTCCCTCCTTTGCTCTTTTTTCCTTTTTCTCATCTGAAAATCTCTGCTGCCTCTGGTCGCCGGCTGGCGATCTTTTCGGGTTGTCTTAGAGATTAAGGTTTTCAGGTTAATGGGTTCGAGTTTTCTTCCCACGAGACGCCATTGAAGTTCCTCAATCTCCATCTCTTTTGCTCGCTAAATACTTCAAATCTTTTTGTAATTTTCCGCTTCCTATCTCTCTATGCGTGGCTCGGGGATTGGACTCTGTAATGCTGAGGTCAGAGATTTCCCAAACAGGGTCTAGCAGCCTCTCCGGTCAATTGGGTCGCTTCAATTTCTGGCGCTACAGATCGTAGAGAATCAATTTCCTCAGAGATCTAGAACTCTCGCTGGTTTCGGATTCACACACTTTTTACATTACTGAGCTGAGGGAGAAGAGTAGAGAGAAGAGTGACATTGAAGATGTTGAGGATGAGGAATAATAATATCAACAAGACAAATGGGTTTTCACCTATGAACGGAAGCTCGGGAGTGGCCGGCGCCGGCGCCGAGTCAAGGTCTCACGAGTGGGAAATGAGACCGGGAGGAATGCTGGTCCAGAAGCGAACCGCCGACTCGGATCGGAACTCGGCTCTGGTGCCGACAATTAGAGTTAGGGTTAAATACGGGTCAATCTACCACGAAGTCAATATTAGTTCTCAAGCTACATTTGGTAATAACTCTGCCTCTCTGCTTCAAAAATTTTTCTTTCTTTTACATTCTTCGGTAGTCTCACGCATAAGTATTTTCTTGCTTCTGTGTTTGCAGGGGAATTGAAGAAGATGCTATCAGGGCCAACAGGGTTACATCACGAAGACCAGAAGCTATTTTTTAAAGACAAGGAGAGAGATTCAAAAGCGTTTCTTGATATCACGGGGGTCAAGGACAAATCGAAGCTAGTTCTGACGGAGGACCCTATCAGTCAAGAGAAAAGGTTGCTGGAGATAAGGAAGAATGCGAAGATGGAGAAAGCTGCAAAATCTATCTCTCAAATCAGCTTGGAAGTAGATAGGCTCGCAGGACGGGTATATGCTTCTTATTTAACTCAAACTTGATGATTTTTCTCTGTGGGATTGACAATTTGAAACGAAATGCTTGAGTTGTTTGAGACTGATGGATTTTTTATGGAAATTTGGTTAGGTGTCTGCTCTTGATTCAATAATTAGTAAAGGTGGCAAAGTCGCAGAATCAGATGTTCTTGGTCTTATTGAACTTTTGATGAACCAATTGCTCAAGTTGGACGGTATTATTGCTGATGGAGATGTCAAACTGCAGAGAAAAATGCAGGTAAATTCTGGTGAATTTTGAATCAGGGAAATGTGGCTTTTGTTCTCTGAATCCTACCTCTGATTGTTCCTTGAAGCATATCCATTAACCTCCTTATTTTGTATTTTTTTAAGAATAATGACCGAACGACAATACATTTCCTCCATTTTGAATTCATGTAATCATGTCATGTATGCATTCTGAGTTCTGATGGCATCTTGGGATTGAAGGTGAAAAGAGTTCAGAAGTATGTTGAAACTCTGGACATGTTGAAGATCAAGAACTCTATGCCCGGTAGCAATGGAGGCGATGCTCCAATGCAGCAGCCTCAACACAAGAAAAATTCAAATGGCCAGAGCCGATTAGCCCCAATTCATGAACAGCCTTTACAGATGCAATCAAACGAGCATATTGATCTATTAACCCCAATTGAGGAGCCACAATTTTCCCAACCGAGGAACTCAAATGGGCATTCTCCATTGATTCAGCAGCAACAAGCATCAGCAGATTCTTCTTCAACCTCAGGTGTTGTAGTTACCACCAAGTGGGAGACATTCGAGCCTGCACCACCATTGATCCCGGCGACATCGTCAACCTCGGCGAACAATAATTCCGTCCATCCCAGGTTTAACTGGGAATTCTTCGACTAAATATATCAGTGAAGCATACCACGTGTCTTGTAATTGTGTGGATGTGATTTGGGTTTGTGTTCCTTCCACTCGGAGTGTTAAATGTTTCTTCTAAATTCTTTTCTGTATTTAGATTTGTTTAGCAACCCTACCAGCCTGCCCTTTAGTTCAACGGAAATAAATGGTGTTGCTATGAATTTTTCTTTTCCTTTTTTCTTTTTGTAATTTTTGGTATCATGGTCAGGTGTCCTTGGATCTTGTCCAAGACTATATTATACCTTCCTCAGCAGTCATAAACGATTGCTATGGTATTGATAATCATAAATCTGTTCCTTTCCTGTGACTTTGGTGTCCCTGAATTTTATTTCCATCTGTAAGATATTATTGTTGGCAATTGACGATGTTAAGATGTAATCACTGCAATTCAACATTTTTTTGTTGAAACCCTTTTTTATTTTTTTAGATTTCAAATCCCACATAATTGGCTGCTTGAAATCTTTGTTTCAACGTTCGTGTACTCTATTTTTATACGAAAGATTAACAATAAACGCTGTACTATTGAAGATCATAAAATATATTTAAATTAATTCATGCGCAAGTTTTTCAAGGAAAAATAGAAAAATGTTAAGCCTTGAAATTTTACGTGATGTCATTGGCCTAAAAAAAAACAAAGAAAGAAATTTTACGTTATGTATGGTACATGCTGATGTCAAACAGAGGTTTATATATAAATGAAAAATGCTTTTTTATTTTTATTTTTTAAAAATAATGTAAATTGAGAAGAGAAGCAAAAACATCAATATATAACAAATTTTATATGATTTTTTTTTTCGGTGTGTGTACACACACATATTTCAACTGAAATGAACAATTATTTTATTATAAGGTCACAGAAAAATCCAAGCAAGGAGCAAGCAAATCAAAACATGTTATAGTTCAAAAAGTTTTTAGGGGTGGAACAATAAAGAATCTTAATATCTAAATCATCACTAGAAGCTACGTGAGCAAGCTAGTTAATGCATTGTTTGCTTATATAAAAATATTGTCAAAAGTGATCTACAAATTGTCTAGTGTTTTGTATATAGTGAGATCGGAGATTTTCTTGATAAGTTCAGTCCAAGGAGGGCTGAAATGAACAAGTCCATGACATGGTTTATGTAATTATTGGGGCCTTAGGAACGTAGAGTAATATTAATTAAAAAGGAAGTGATGAGAAAGGAGAAATGCTGAAAAGGGGAAGGGAATGATAGGAAGAGGCAGTTGAAGGGGAAGGGAATTGATGATACATTGCTTGTTGTGGGGGCTACAGGGTCACAAAAAGATGAGGGCATCTTGTAAAGCGGCTCTATTCTTTTTCTCCTGTGGAGCAGCAATCAATGAAGAAGGGATTGAGCCAATCAGAGCAAGACGTGCTTCCAAACACCACTCTCAAGCCCTGCATTAGAATTCGCTCTCTTGAGCTTTGCATTTCCTTATGCTGACATCTGCGTCTCCATGTTTGGCCTTCAAGCAAAGCTTCCCTGCCCTGTCTGTGGAGTGAAGGGTAAGCCTATTCCTTCTCTTCACTTCTGGATCATTCACCTTCAATGCCACACATCATTCTTTTTGTTAAATGAAATTCACTTTTCAAGGCATGTCCTTTTGAGCACCGCATGACATTTTTAGTATAAACTCATGTTTCCAACAAACACACCAATGAAAGTTCCATGCCTCCTAATTGGAATGATAGAAGCCACCCTATTTATAAACTATGAATAGTACTATCTCCCACCACAGTATAATCTTTCAATAATATCTCTATCCATGTAGAAATTGGTCTTATCTCTTATGGAAATGCCCACAACATGTTAAAGACATCATTGTGTTGTAACTGTTCAAATAACTATTATATCTATTGTTCATAGACTCTTCGATTAAATCTAATTCGAATAAAATTAATTAAAAAGATAAATATTATCCCATTTGTAAAATATGAGAGCAATTTGGACGTAGTCTAATAGAAAAGTGAAACTATTGGCAACAAATATTTGTATGTGTGTGTATGGTGCAGTTATTTTACTAAAGAAACTAGCGTTAATTAAATTTAAAACATTCTGGTGGTTCTGATTTCCTTTTTTTTTTTTTTTGAATGAAAAAAAGTGTCACAACTAACCACGTAATACAAAAAGTAGAAGGTACGAAATACACCTTTCTAGGAGATACAATAATTGAAATGGACAAAGTAAGGTTGTTTTAGCTTCTCGTTGATTGTGTTGAATAGTGTTGGGCTTTTGTCAGGAAAAATGACACTTGGGACCTGGACAATTAAAACTCCCGTAGATGGGTGAGGCCATTGACTATATTTACAAAAATATTATTCATAATTCCTAAAGTTATAGATTTCAAATATTCTGTCAGAATAAAAATTATTAATTAATTTGGAGGGAAAATAATGATAGCTTTAAAATATCACAATAATGAATAATCTTTAGTTCTTGGTTAAAAAAAAAAATTCACCGAATCATGTCCCTTGAATATTGTCCACTAATTTTATAGACCTCCAACTCTACTTTGGTTAGACATGGAACTGAAAGGATAGAACGTAGGCTTTATGAAGGGCATGTAAGTGAGCAGAAGGAATCATAAAGAAGGCATCACAGTTTGTCGGCTCACAAGTCATAATCAACCCTCGCATTTCACCCACACATCGAATATTCTTGTAATCACTTTTAAATAACTATATTCAATTTAAATGAGCTTCTAATTCCTATTAGATATATATTCTCATAATTCAATGTATTAGTAATTAGCAATACACTTTATCAAGAAAAAAAAGTAATTAGCAATATAACCCACAAATATTGGGACCTAAATGTATATCAAGCTGAAGAAGGCTTCTGTATCCTTCATCAATTAGAAGGGTATATTGCTCTTAATGTAGAATTCGACTTCACTTCGACTTCACTTCTGTGTAATGGGCAAACTTAGCCAGCCAATTTAGGTAGTTGTTGTTCTTTTAAAAAAAATATATATTCACAACTGACTTTCTAATTGTGCGTCAAAAGTTCTCAAATATCTTCAGCTATATTAAATAAAGGGGAGATCTCTGCATATTCTTTCATACAAAGAATATATTATCGCTCGAAAATATAAAATTAAAATTAAGCTGCTCAGATCAATACAAATACAACTGTTTACTTCTCTTTTTAATCCTTTTCCAGCAACGGGTTCCACAAACTTCACAGGACAAATCTCAAATACATAAAATTTGAAAGACATTTCCCCAAAGCTGAGAATATTAATTGAAAATCCGAACTCTTCTCCCGAAATCGTGGTCCCTGAGAATTGGGCTTGTTCCCGATCTTGTTATTAATCATTTGGTTCCTCTTGCAACTTAATGTCATCATATTAGGCTCGTATCTCTTTTAGGCCCAAACAGAGCTGTAGGCCTCTCCTTTTTCATTCTATGTCTTTTTAGTTTTTACCCATGTAGAAAAATTTAAAGAATTAACCAATTAGCTTATTCAATTCAATTATAATGTAAGCTCATTTATTATTTGTCAGAATTTGTTTCTACCAGACATACCCCTCCAACCAATTTCACATCTGCAGCGAATTTCAGATTTCTTCATTAGAAAATATCTCGAGCTGCGCCTCTTTGTCGTCTCCTCCCATGCATCTCCAGTCCGATCTTCAACCTGCTCGGCCTTACGCCATGAGTTCATCCCCAGTGCTCCTCACTGATATAAATTCTCAGTACTTGGCTTCCCATTTTCGGTTTATGAATTAGGATCATGTCTTGGCTTGTGAATTCTTCCCGTGGGCTGAGGACAGTGGTGTGGGATAAAAGAAATGATACTTGAGAGAAGATCTACAATAGATTTACGAAAATGGGTTTATGGACGGGGATCAGATGTTCAGGCTCAGATGGGCACACAATGGGATGAGAAATAAATAATAATAATAATAATAATAATAATAATAATAATAATAGTAATAGTAATAGAAAAGTAAATTCTTATGCTAAAATGTAATAATTTTGTATTTATTAAATAGGTTTCAATAAATTTAATGATATTATATACAATTTTATTAATATTTACATTTTAAAAAAGTAATTTTTATGATAATTTATACATTTAAAATTGATTTTGATTAAATAATTATTCAAACATCTTCAATTCTATCAAAATTGATTTCAGAAAAATAATATCCAAACATAATCATATTATAACAAAATTAATTATAATTAAAATCAATCATATTAATTAATTAATCCAAATGGGCCGTATGCTTTTCCAAGATATAATTTCCATATACATATAATTTAATCAACTTTTGTTTTGTTTATATTTAATTAGTTTAATCAAACTATAATGTGTTATACATTCTTGAAGGAGAAGAGAGATTAACAGCCGCAGACGCTGAATTTATCACACATTTATATTAATAATTTATCGATCACAGAGCAGCACCATCTAATTAAGCTTTTCTTCACAAAGAAACAAGTTATTGGGAAAAAAGAGTTCGAGGATGAGTTATTTTAAGTTTTAATGAGTCAAACGATGAATTGTTTAAAACCGACCTCACGTACGTTCAATGAGGCAATCACGTTGCAGTCCTTGGCGATATAAATTAGTTAATAACAATGATCCTTTCCAATTTTAGCCAAAAAGAACTGGATTGATCATTAATTGTGGCAGGAAATAATACAGGGTTGAGTGTTTTAAATAAAAGATATAAATATTTTTAAAAGCATAACATATTATATATATATTTATATAATATTTTACAGTTATATTAATATACACAGTAAATAATACTCAAAATAAACCGAAATATTTAAAGATAAAATTACTAATATATGTTGCATGGTATAATAAATCCACGCGAAGTAAAAATGATAGAATTCAATAAACACCATAAAATACTAATATGAAATACTGAAATTTTGCTTTAGACAAAAATAAAAAATAAAAAACTGTTTAAATATCAAAATTATCCATTTTTTTACAATTTTTATACCTTTTTTAAACTCATTTTTTATTGATTTTTCACCCAATGAAATTTAAAGATCAACTAAACCAAAGTTACCACTGCTTAATTTTTTTTATTGGATACAAGTATTTTTTTTTAATATGTTAAAAGCAATCCTTTTCGATACACACATATTTATTTAAATAAGTGTATCCATGTATATGGATTGGAGTTGATCATAAAAATTCCAGCTGCAGAAAAAGAAGTCTAATATACTTATCCTCTAGTCTGACTTTACAGCTGGAGGTGCTTTTGAAAATAACATATCATATATTTTCTTTCACCCCAATACATTAACAAATTAGACCTCAATCCACTCCTTCTTCA